GCAGACTTCTGGGGTATCTGGGAAGAAACCTAAGGGATTCAACTCTATGTCAAAGGGCCAGCAGGACTAGAGCCACTGTGGGAAATGCAGCAAGATACATGATGGAGCTTGCAGATTAGGGGGATCAGGATGCTATAAGTGCGAGAAGCTTGGGCACTTTGGCAAGAATTGTACTGCTCCTACCCCCATCCTTTAGACATCAGAGTTGGTTTTCTTTCATTACAATCAGAAGGGCCATAAAAAGGACAACTGACCGAGATTGGTATCATCAGCGCCAGTGGCGGCGCCAGCTCCAGCGACGCTGCAGATTACGGATGGCCAACATGGCAAGACAGATGCTCCAGTGCTTAAGAGCCGAGCCTTCCAGCTAACCACCAAGGAGGCGCGTGCCACACCGAATGTGGTGACAGGTATGTTTTCTTCTCCCTAACCTTTATTACATGTCAATTTTGATTTTTATATTCTATGTGTTCTGTTTAGGATCGTCTTATGTGAATGGTATCCCAGTTCAAGTGTTATTTGACTTAAGGGCTACCCGATCATTCGTATCTCTTGCACTCAGCAAGAAGTTCGTTGAATTTTTAGGCATGTTGGATTGTCCATTAGAGGTCGAGATTACAGACAACTGATCCTTCTGGGCATCAGACGTTCCATAGATTGTGTATTGAGGATGTATGATGAGTGTTACCTCATGGATTTGGTTCCCATTCCTTTGCGTGGGAAGAAGGTCATCAATGGCATGGATTGGTTGAGCCCTAATGGGATAGTGATCGAATGTGCGCAACAGTTGGTTCATGTCAGGACCCCAAGTTGGGAAGAGTTGGTTATTCAGGGTGAGAGGTCGCAGTGTAGGCCAACTTTGTGTTCAACAGCGAGGGCTAGACGCTACCTTCAGCAAGGATGAGCATGTTATGTTGCCTATGTTACAGATACCCGAGAGAAGAGTAAAGAGAGCGTGGATGATGCGCCAGTGGTGCGAGAGTATCCGGATGTTTTCCCTGAGGATTTTCCTGGGATATATTTGGGTTGAAATGTCCCGATTCTATAAAGGGAAAAACTCGATGAGTTCAAGGATAACTTGACGAGTTGACTGGAGATGTACCGATTCTATGGATAAGAGGAACTTGACGAGTTGAGAAAGAACTCGACGAGTTGGATCGTGATTTCAGAGTTTTCTGATTTATGGAACTCGGCGGGTTGATGGGTCAACTCGGCGAGTTGAGTTAACCCATAATGTTGACTTTGACTGGAACGTTGACTTTGACCAAGATGTTGACTTTGGCTTTAAATTTGACCAAAGTTAACCCTTAAGGGGTTATGAGTATGAAAAGAGGTAGGTCAACACTCAGATATGCTAGGCAGTATGTTATTGTATGGTATGTGGTATGATGGGGGTACTCGCTAACCTTTGTGCTTACTGTTTTCAGTTTTGGCTTCAGGTACTTCCTCTTCGAAGGGAAAGGAGCCGACATGATCACAACACATCACACTACATTTCTGCACCAGAGATACTTGGGATTGTTACTCTGATGTTGTTTCATCATGACATGTTTTGACTATTGATAATTTGGATTTGATATGAGTTGATACTATAGTTGTTTTAAGAAAAATGGTTTTATAATTGTTTATTTAAAAATGAAATTTTTGGTTGTAAATTTTGGGATGTTACAAAGAGTGAAGCCAACCCAAAAGGACTTGTGCTTCTATTAATTCAAGTATATACCAATTATAGTTATGGGCTTAGACACCTAATCCAACACTATTATTATTTGTAAAAGCCTTGTATTCAAATATCAAGATAGGACACGAATGTTGTTTTGTTTATTGTTGTATTGTGATATATATTCAGTTTATCGGTGATCCATGAACTTAGTTGCACAGGCCGACATGTTCTACCGCGTCGACCCTGGGGGGGGGGGGGGTGGGGGTGACAGATTGGTATTAAAGCTAAATTGGCTAAAGAGAACTTGTATCCTCGAAATAGGAATTCAAATATAGCAACTAGCTTCTAATAAAATTATTATTATTATTATTATTATTATTATTATTATTATTATTATTAATTACACTATTCTTGGCTACTTACGGTAAAAGGAATATGCTTTGAAGGGCAACATAGGGTTGTTGGATTTCATAATGGCTTAATTGCTAAAATCGTCCTGCCTTCCGGTGTTTCCTGTCTGTACTTAGAGTACAAAACAAAAACTAATAACACTGCAAACCTCAATAACAGTAATTAATAAGAGTTGTTGGATTTTAGAACGACTTAATTGCTAAAATGGTCCTGCCCTCCAGTGTTTCCTGTCTGGCCCTTTTCAGCACTTGGTAGTCTTGGAGTATAAAAGAAAAGCTAATAACACTGCAAATCTCAACAATAGTAATTAATAAGAGTTATATATATATATATATATATATATATATATATATATATATATATATATATATATATAGACATGCGCACACACCCACACACACTTTGACCCGCGATGAGAACAATTAATAAGATTCTAACATACCTCCAACTAAAACTACAAACTCAACCATTTAGATCAAACACTTGAACTAAGGTTAGTACTACACATAATCCATACCATAAATAAACCTAAAAAGTATGCCTATATTATTTATGGTCGGGCCACTGTACAACCAACCTTGAGCAAGGAGTTTGACAAACTACAATGATTGGAAGTTTTAGAGATTGAAAGATGTTCTTAAAATCAACCTCAAAACAACATATACATTTTAAAAATACTTAAAAATCTAGGATAACGTTCAAATTTTCCTAGTTTGCCTAAACCCAAAAACAAAGAAAGAAACAATAGCTCCGCTACCATCGTAGTAAAGAAACCTATAGTTCCAAATTGATCATTCAATACTCTCTAAACTTCTCTCTCTACCATTTGAAATTGGAGGTGACCTTCTCTAGTGCATGGAACTCATTCACATGATTTGGTACTCCTGATATGTTGTTAATAACCAAGCTCCGATATGTCCGGAAGGAAATCAGTAAATGTAGGAGATCAGACACTACTAGGGAATCAAAACTATTGCTCTAGTTAAAGAAGAGAGTGGAGGATATTAAAGAACTTGCTGAATCAAGAATGTTATCTGAGATAAATTTATATGAAAAAAGTGAATGTAAGTGAAAAATACAAGAGTTGGAGTACTTCATTAAGCTAGACATATAATAAAAGCTAAAATACAGTGGTTAACTTACGGGGACGAGAACACTCGTTTTGTTATTCATAATACTATTAAGAGCAAGAATAGAAAGAACATATTACATGGCTTGACAATTAATGAGGCGTGAAATACTAATCCTATAGACATCAAACATGAAGTACACCAATTCTTTGGTAACAAATTTGAAGAAAAATGACCTAAGACCGAAACTGATCAGTGATAAGTTTAAAACTCTCTCCTCAAAACAGAGAAAATTTCTTGATTTGCCTATCTCATATAAGGAGACAAAACAATCCAGTTGGGGTGTGATGGAGATAAATCTCCTGGACATGACAAATATACTATCAAGGTGTTGAAGCATAAATAGGAATTGATTAAGCAAGATGGTACTCGATTTTTTTCTATACTTTAAAGCTTATGGCCAATTCGCTAGAGGTTGTAATTCATCCTTCATAACCCTCATTCCAAAAGTTAAGGACCCGATGAGTTTGGGAGATTACATACCTATCAGTTTCATAGGTTTCATGTACAAGATTGTATCCAATATCCTTTCATCGAGACTAAAAATAGTGGTAGGATCGGTGGTTGAAGAAGTGCAATCTGCATATACAGAAGGAAGACATATATTGGATGGACCATTAATCATAAATGAAGTATGTTCATGGGCCAAAAAAGCTTAGGAAAGAATTTTCTTATTAAAGGGAGACATCGAGAAAGCTTTTGACTCGATTAATTGGGCTTATCTTGATTCGATCATGGAGTAAATGGGTTTTAGCAATAAATGGTGGGGATGGTACATGGCTGCCTCTCATCCTCTAGTGCCTCTATTCTTGTTAACGATTCCCCGTAAGATAATTTCCCTATCACCAAATGTGTGAGGCAAGGAGACCTACTTTCCCATTTCCTTTTTATTATTGCAATGAAAGGATTGAATGTTACCATCAAATCCGCCCTTAAGAAATCCCTCATGCATGGTCTTCCCCTACTACACAACAGGCCAACCTTATCACATCTGTTTTACGCAAATGACAAGATCATCATTGGTAAATGGAACACGGGTAGTATCCAAAAAATGCTTTCATATTTGCTCTGGATTAAAAGTAAATTTTCATAAATTGAGTTTGTTTGGTGTTGGAATCTTGGATGCGGATCTCCAACATCAGGCACAAGTACTTGGTTGTCTTAAGAGTGCTATAGCTTTCACATATCTTGGGGTCCCGGTAGGAGAAAACATGTCATTGAAGAAAAATTGGAAGTCGATTATTGATACTCGTTTATCAATTTGGAAGGCAAAAACTATCATTTGGGGGCAGACTCACTCTAAAAAAATCAATGCTCAATAATCTTCATACTTATTACTTTTCTCTCTTCAAGGCTCAAAACAGGATCATCAATGAACTTGAAAAGTTGAGGAGGAGATTTCAATGGAGTGGAAAAGATTCCAAATCTAGGATACATTGGGTGTCACGGGCAAAAGTTGTATCTTCCAAAACAGATGGAGGACTTAGTGTTGGATATTTAAAAGCACAAAATCTAGGTTTACTCGGTGGAGACTCAAAGAAAAATCTAGAGGATTAGGGAGATATTGCACAACTAGCATACACAATCTGAGTAGAAAGCCTGTAACTGTTGGTGTGGTTCCTTAACATTACAAGAACGTTTCCCAAGGCTACATAACATGAAGGTAGATAAACTTTGCCTAATATCTGACAACATTGATGGTTCAAGTTTTCACTGGAGATGGAAAGCACAGATCACGAATGGAGATAATCTAGATGACCTGAATATTTAAGCTCTATGCTTCAGGGGGGGTCAATATGAATTTGACAAAGAATGGATTCCGTTTCAACCTAAACCCTGATGGGGTAAACTCTTTACGTCACAAGATTGACTCCATTCCTATCGCCTATCATGGACCAAAGATAAACTGGTCAAAAGCAATTTCACTAAAAATTCGATGTTTTACTTGGAGGGCAGTTTTGGATATACTTCCAATGGCAAGAAATCTCGTGGGTAGAGCAATTAAGGTACTATCAACTTTATGTCCACTGTGCAGTTTGGAACAAGAGACATGATACCATTTATTAATCAGATGTCATGTGGCAAGGGAGGCTCAAGATTGGATTTTAAAATGGTGTGGCATACCTGATGCTTCATTTGATAATGCCAATGAATTTATTAACTTTGCAGCCACATGTGGTAATTGTCCAATGAAGAGGAAAAAGATCATTACAGTGTTCTACGGTCTCTTATGGTTTATCTGGTTGGCCAGACAACAAGGTGTTTAAGGCAATACATACAAATCTTGTTAGGATTGCTGATGAAGTGATCTCTCAAACGTTTTTCTGGTTAAGTTTAGAGCTTCAAGAGTAAATTGTAGATGGATAGAATGAAGCATTCCCTCTTTTTGTTAAAAACTCTATTATCTGTTGTTTCTTTCTCGTTTTTATACCTTGTCCTCAATTTAGTTATTGGCTAAATGTATGACTTTTATTTATTAATATATTTTCCGATTAAAAAAATAATCATACATTGTCAATATCAAAAACATCAAAAGAATAGAATTGATATGGAAATAGCCCATAAAAAATTAATTTCAACTTTTACCATGGATTAAAGACATACAATAAAGGTGACACTAATACACATATATAAAAGCGGAAAAAGCTATCTTGTAAGTTATGATTCCTCAGATAATAAATATGATTACCATAGATAAAAGCGAATTCCAATAATTTGCTGCTAAAAGTGAAAACAGATTAAAAACACGTGAAAAAAATCAACAATTTGTTGTTGATTTAATCTTAGTCAAAATCGGGAGCGTTGACGAAAGCAATAAATATACCACGTAAACAATCCTTTTCGGGCAGAAAAAGCCCCATTTGTCGTTTCCCAAATCCTCTCAAGATTTTTATAACCCTTTATCGTTTTCATCACAAATTCAATCTTCATCATCAATACCCTAAAAGCTTCAGAGATCAGATTATGTCTTGTGTCTGTGATTTCTGTAATCAGAGATCGGCGGTGTTGTACTGTAAAGCCGATTCGGCTAAGCTTTGTTTGTTCTGCGACAACGCCGTACACTCTGCAAATGCTTTATCTCTCAAGCACTTCCGTTCTCAGATCTGTGACAACTGCGGATCTGATGCCGTTTCCGTCGCCTGTTCAACTGATAACCTTCTCCTCTGCACCTCTTGTGATCACGATTTCCATGGCGACTCCTCCGTTTCCTCTTATCACAGTCGTGTGCCTGTTGAAGAGTTCTCCGGTTGCCCTTCCCCTCTTCAGCTGGCCTCGATTTGGGGATTTAATCTAAAACCTTCTGGTTCTAATGGCAATTCGTGTGAAAGTAAGTATTCCACTACGAATTTTCAAGATTTAGCGACGATACATGAGAAAACTCCTTGTTATGATGAGGTTCCGAGCGTTGACTGGAAATCTAGAGGTTCGGGTTGCGGAGTTCATAATAAAGTTTTGTTTAAGCAGCTGGTGGAGCTTGCGAAAGAAAGATTTGACGGGGATGGAGCTGAATTGGGGCCTCAAACCCCGAGTGGATGTGGTCGGCGGGATATTTCAGAAGGTTTCGAGTATGAGGAACAAGACGATAAGGATCTGTTGCATCAGCAAACTCCATTAACGTATCTGCTTATGCCGCCCCAGAATCCCGCGAATTCGAAAGCGAATAATGGGGGTATCACTGAATTTAGTAACATGTGGAGCTATAGCCCTAAACGCCAAACCAGTCAGGTTTGGAATTAAATAACTTGATTAGAAAATTGATAAAAAACATTACCGTATATTACTCTTGATCTTGTTATAAAACAATTAAACAATCACCATCCATATTTGTTCTTACCTTTTTGCTGCGTCACAACAAAACCTAAGAACTTAACATCTTACATTTGCTCTAGTACTGGAGGTGCATAAACACAGCAGCAAATACAATTGGTGTCCATCTATAGTCACCACCAGTCTTGGCTAACTTATTTTGTACTTGTTAAAGATTAATCATCAAGCACCAGAAATTCTTTTTCTTTGTGTATTTCTTTTTATAGATGGAAACTTTTACAAACTATATTTTGATTTCTGCCTTTGTGTCAACTCATGTTTGTTGCCACTTTATTGTGGGGATATAAGATAAGTAGTAGCATGAAGTGGGGTATAACTATAAAGGCTCATCTTTATTACCATTTTGATTTCAGATATGGGATTTTAATCTAGGAAGATCAAGATCTTCTGAGGCAGGAGTTGATAATCTTGGCTTTGCAATAAACAATTGTACTGACCTTGTTGAGGATGCTTCTTTCACAACAATGGAAGTGTTAAAAGAAATGGATGCCATAAACATATCTTTTGGCACCACATCACAAAATGTAAGCATCTTGTACTACTTAGTGTTTTCTCTATCTACTTGCATTTATATTTTATAACCCCAAAGTTATTCATTTGGTTTTGAATTGTAATTAGGGATGGGTTACTCGAGAAACTCATGAAAATTTGCTACTTCTCAAAGACATTGTCTATTTCATTGTTGTTATGTTAACTTTGTGGGATGAAAGTCTTGTTAAGAGGTTTTCATTCACATCAGGCTGGAATTAGATCTGGATAGAATTCTAAGTGTTCTAGAAGTAGAAAACATTGCATTCCCCTTATCCTGATTCATTTTTCTACCTTTGTCCCAAAAGAAGGTTTAATTTTAACCTTTTAAGCCTGTTTCCTCCTAAATGGAAGTAAATTTCTATAGAATCTTTTCTCTTCCTCTTTTCCCTCCTTCAAATATTGATCTAGAAAGATTTGTATCGTATCTTACTCCAAATTTCCATCACCATGTACTTTCAACACATGATGCCCTAATAAGAAAAATAAAATACTGAAAGTACAATGTCTTAATGTAAAAAAAAAATTGAAAGTAAAACGTTTTATGGAAAAATACGAAAGTAGAAAAGTGTAATAAACAAAGTAACAAAAGTACATTGCTATTCCTTTTTCAGAAGCAGATATCAGGTTGCATATCAACTATGGAGAGTGACAACCGACCTGAAACACAAATGATGGAAACCAATAGAAGTAATCCCACAATTGACGGTCAAATGATGGAACACTTTTTAGCAACCAATCAAGGAATGGAAATACCCGCAACAACCAAAGTAGACGCGCAACAACTTGCCCAAAATAGATGTAACGCAATGTTACGTTACAAGGAGAAAAAGAAAACCCGAAGGTACACACTACATGACAAGACAGAATCACAGAACATAACATCTTGTACTGCGTTTGGCGTACATTGGACTGGACAAAAATCTCAATTTTTTTTTTTTTTTTATCCTCTACCCAAAAAAGTGGGATCGGATTGTAGGAACTTGTTTTTATCTGACGTTTATGCAAAAGACGTAAACGCGCTTTATATATATAAAGTTTGTCCAGTCCTGTCTTGTCCAGTCCAGTCTAGTTGTCTAGAATTGGTTATGATGAATAGCGTTAAAATGGTGATAGGTACGACAAGTGCATCCGGTACGAGTCACGGAAGGCGAGAGCGGATACGAGAAAACGAGTAAAGGGAAGATTTGTGAAGAGTATTGAATGAATGAATGAATGAATGATTAAAGTGGTTTGTGGTGGAAGTTAGTTTGGTAAAAGGGTAGGTTTGAGTTGAAAGATAGTATGCCTAGTGGCTAGTGGTAACCTACGACTGTTTGATAAGAAAAAGGTGGCTTGTAATGTATGGCTACGGTGATTGACTGATAATTTTTTTTTTTTTTTCTTATCCTTGAAGTTGGGAAAAGGTGTGCTTTGATGCTTGAGTTGTGGAAATGCAATCTGAGTCGCCATGATCCTTGTCCTGTTGATACTTACCACGTGGCAAAGATTACCTCGTAATTTGAATTCAGATACTATTATGAGTGGAGCTTAAGTGTCTTCGCATTACGTTTAGTAAAAAAGACACTAATTTTATTTTATAGAAGTTTTTTTTGGGGATAAATGTCAACTTAACGTGAAATTGGGATGAGGGTAAATGAGCTACATAGAATATAAAATGGGTACCCGAATACAAACACATAAAAAAAAACTATAAAAATGAAAAAAAAGAAAAGGATATTTGTTCAATTGGATGAAATGAAATGACAAATAGATTAAATTGATTAAATGACCATAACATATATTATGAAACGTATTTGGTTGGCTTATCGGCTATACCGGGTATATGAATGGATCAATGGAAAGAATTTTCATATGGATTCTGAAAAAAAAAATAGGTTTCATTAAAAACTACATAATAAATGTGTTATATTATAAATTTCATTTTTTTACCTTTGTTGAAAAGAAAAACTGAAATAAACAAGTCATATTCTTAAAAAAAAAAATCATTATATTTTACTATACAAATCTTTATATGTTTATATAAGTTTAATAGAATAGATCATTTTATTCTTCCTGGATGGATTCCAACATACCAAAAATATCTCAAAGTTGTACGCTTAGGGATGAAAAGCTTGAAGAAGAACCGTGCAAAAAGGGTGGTATATTCTCTTTGTTGTCATTACATTTCAAAGTATCTTGATAAAAAATAAAAAAAATAAAAAGAAGTTATTGGAAATCATAGGTGATAAAATGGACACAAACAGTTTTAACCAATAAAAACTAAGTAATCGCAAAAGTAAAGATGTTAAGTAGTCAAAAGATATCGAATCAAGGTCATGTCGACACATTTCATCCGATACCTTTTATTTATTTTGCAAGCAAAAGACATTGACAATACATATTTTATTAGTTGTGACATACGACAAAGACTTCTTTTTTCTTTTCTACTTTCTGTTAGGTCGGCTAGATAATCATAATAATTGATCATTGATCTATATTTAAACATGTAAATTTAATTACTACATATACAACATAAATGAAAATAAAATATCTTCAAATTTAAATAACCAACATAATACAATATTAAATTATTTATGACATAATTTTGTTATTTAATAATAGAAAAAAATTGGGGTTATTGTCACAATCATCTTTGACCTATTCGCTACAAAATTGACCGAAGAAGTAATTCTAAGCCATGTCACCCTCATCTACACTATCCAGCTCAAATGTGGAGGTGCAATCTCAACATCATGGTGATTGTATTTTATCTTCTTGAATTCGGTTATCTTGAATAGAAGATATACCCGAAAGAAGGTTTAGGTAGTGTCCTAACGCTATGGTAAGTGACCTTTTCATTAATTGTTAAATTGAACCAACATATGTCATGTACCTTTTTTTTTGTCTTGTTATTGTTTATGTATGATCCAAGGAAAAATGTATTTTTGGGAATGGATGGATCCAAAAATTCTAAGTGGACGTTATCATTCAATTATATTTAATAGTGTTGGAGTTATCCCGAATTGGGTATTATCTCATAGTAAATTTATTTTGAATGTATAGATTAGTCTTATCTTATTAGTTTGTTTTGTTTTCTGATAAGGACTCTCAGATGTATATATACATGTATAACAATTAATTAAAGACATGATTTTCGAGTCTCCAATCTTTACTTGTGTCAATTGTTTCATGGTATCATGTTTGAAATATAACCTAGCGCCATGACTAAATCAGGAGAAGAATCCTGTGGAGCGAATGTTGCTCAGAAAATCGAAGCCAACTCACCATTTTACCTTGGACCCCAAGATTGACTAGGGGATTATATCACGTCGACTTGGCTCCAAGGAGACAATTATGATGATTGGGTTGGTGAAATCCTTGGAAGCATGAAGAAAGTTCGGGTTTCTTGATGGGACGATTATTGAAAGGGTGCTACCTGTTACAGAAGCCGATTGGAATACGATTAATGCAATGTTAGTATCCTCGATTATGAACACAATTGATCCAGAGGTCACGTGTTCCTTTTCTAAATATCGTGATGCAAAGAAGATGTGGGAGACTTTGAAATCACGATATGCTTTGGTCAATGGACCACAAATTCAACAATTGAAGTCATTGATCGCCAAGTGTGAACAAGGCAAAAATATTCCAGCTACTGAGTATTTTGGAAAATTGATTGGATTGTGGGAAGAATTGCATAAACATGAACCTCTTATTGACTGCTCCTATGGTAATGCTTGTACCATCGAATCTAAACATGAAGAAAGAAGAGAAACTGATATGCTTCACATGTTTCTTATGGGGTTGAGCACTGACCTTTTCTCCACTATGCGCACTAGTATCTTGTCATAGGATCCACTTCCATAATTTGATAAGGCATATCTATTAGGATAGTTTGTGTTGTGTCAATTGTATTTTGTGCTAGTATAGTCCATTTTGTAATGGGTTGGGCTTGTCCACCCAGTTTTTAATGATTTTAGGGTTAGACTATATATATAGTGCATGCATGCACCGTATTAGGTATCGATTGTACTTACCCTACCGTGCCTTTACAGTGAAATTATTTATTGAGCTCTTCTAAGGCATTGATTCTAATCATTCAGCACAACTTCGATCATTGTTTTCTTTGTGTGATTTACTTTTCTATTTAGAATCTATCGATCAACTCTTAGTTGTTCTTACAATTGGTATCAGAGCAGGAGTTTGTGTAAATCATAAGCAACTCTTCTGTCGAAGTGTTATTAGGGTTTTTCCGCTTTTATTGGATCTGTTCTTGCTGTCTTCATCGTGTTGATTGTTGATGTTGGATCTTGATCCTTATTACGCTCTAGTCTCGATTTTAGTTCTACACATCTGATTCTTTACAGGTTTTAAGTGAATCTACAACATGCAGCCTGAAGATCCACGTACTCTTTATTTTAATCTTTCTAGCAACATCGGATCTACTACCTGGATCTCTATTCTCTTCCCTAAAGACTATGAAGTCTAGGCTTTACATTTTAAGGATTATGTTCTGGGTATTGAAGCTCATGGAATGACGATTTGGTAAGAAATAACAGAAGGAACACTCATGCACATGGGAACCAGGAGAGTTATCAAAACTTAGGCAGAGTACAATACTCTTCTTATCGATGTTAAAGATATTCCTCAAGATGAGAAAGATAAACTACTGAGCAACGTTAAAGCTATGATGATAATAAGGTTTGCTTTACCCCCGAACACCTTTTGCCTAGTAAGTTCCAGTGAAACAGCGAAGGAGATATGGGATAGATTAAAAGAGCTCTATTCAAGTGACGTAGATTTGGAACACTCCATTCAAACATTGCTTCTTTTAGAGTTCGGTGCCTTTGTTCAGAAGCCAGAGAAAAATTTTGATCAAACGTTCAACCATTACAACCATCTTTTAAGTAGGATGCTGAAGCACAAAATAAAATGTGAATTAATAAAACAAAAGGTTACTTTTATGAATGGGTTACGGTCCGAATGGAAAGCAATAGTTTCAACTGTTAAAGCTCATGAATAATTTAAGAACTATTCATTGGCAAAGCAAGTGGGAATTCTCAAGTCACACGAAGATGAAGTAACAAAGGAAGGAAAAGTTGTTTCTGGAATGGGATCTTTGGCCCTGGTTGCGAAGGGAAAATTTATAGCAAAAGAGGATTCGAAGTCCGGTATCTCATATTGCGAACTTACAAAAGAAGAATGCGCTCTTATGGTATCAAATCCCAGAAAGTTTTCAAAGAAGATCTTTGGACGCCTCAAAAATAGGAAGTGGCGAGGGAATTACAGTTCAAACAAGGCAAAGGATGAAAGCAAACAGAAGGACGAGGCGAAGAAAGAAAACAAGCTGGTTGGAGATTCTGGCTGTGACTGCAATTATTGTCATGGCAAGAATCATTTGACAAAAGAGTGCTTGTTAAAAAGATTGAGTGAGAAGAAGGACGAAGAAGATAAGGATGAAGCTTACTATCTTTGGAAGATAGAAGAGCTTAGAAAGAAGAAAAGTGTTGATAATGCTAAGCCTGCTTTGATTGTGCAGGAAGATGATAACGAGTTTAGAAGAATTGATGTATGGTCAACTGATTCAGAGGATGAAGAGGTTTGCAAACCCACACATGGTGAGTGCTTTGTTGAAAAGGCTGAGGTCCCCGGGTACGAGGGAAAGTGCATGATGGTTCACAATGGAATTTCGAAGCAAAGAGGATACACCACTGATGGCTGCAAGGCTTCAGATAACTACTTTGCTGCAAAACCTGTCTCTGAGCAGGTAAGCAAATATGAGAAAGTGATCAACAAGGTACATTCAATTCTCGAATCTCTTAATATTCTGTTGCACGATATGAAACTGAATTAGATGATTTAAAATTTACAGTCTCTAATTTAAGTGATAGTTTAAAAAGAACCCATTTAAGTAATACTAATTTAACTAATCAAATCAGTAGGATAACATCAAAGAGTGAAGAGAGATGAATGTGGATTGAGAAGTTGGAGTTGGATTTGTCTAGGTCTAGGGATGATTTGATTTATTTACAACGAGATGATTTAGGTCTTTTGAAACAAAAAAACATTTTCTGTTTGATCGCTAAACGTCTTTATTTTAATATTACTCAGCTGCATATTGACTGTGAAATAATCAAGAATATCCATAAAATGATTTTTCCCTTTCTCGAATTGAAAGAGGATGAAATTGATGCAGACTGCTACAAATGCGAATCTATCTTTTCTTCTGACGATGTCTCTGAATCTTATATAATTGGACTAGACAAAATTGAAGATTATATTCACACTAAAGAACATAAAGATATGTTGAAACAAATTCTGAGTGAAAAAGATAAAGAGCAAATTAAATATGATACTGTACATAAATTTGACTCATTATGCACCAAATTAAGTTCAGAAAAAATCTTGATGTTGAAAATGTATCTAAATTTGATGATGAAAG